TGTGACATATTGGAAAATATAATCTTCTACATCATTTCACAGAAACCTTCCACTACATGCTTATGAAAATAATTTTCAGGTAAGAATCATTTTTTATCTTTCAAGTGTCTAAAACTTTTACAAAAAATACTTTTTAATCTTTTCTAGGGTACCTTATGCATCTGTTCACCAATATTTACAGGCAAACTTTCTAAGAGACTTCAAATACCGCATGAATCATTTTCTTGCAAGAATAATACCACGTATGTGAAATATGAGCACAATTATCATTGCAGGTATAATTGATTAACTTCCTATTTTATTAAATAAATATACATTAATTTTTAAAGGCATATGGACAAAAAAATGATGTCCTGTTTTGAGCTTAAGTTTTATTTAATGATATGTAATATTCCATTTTAAGTTAAAATATAAACTTAATGTACATTTTATGGGTTGTTTAATTGTTGTGATATTTGTTTGAAATAAATATTTAAGAAACTCTGAGACATAATTTGGGCATACCTTTGTAAAACATATATTTTGTTTTATAATGAAGATTTTTTAAATAACAACTAAATAGTATTTGAGGGTCTAGAAAAAAGAGATAAATATAAGCACCCACAAACTATTTCTATTACAAACTATTTCTATTATACAATGTTAATATTATATTTTGAAAGTATAGAGTAACCACCTCTTCCTTCAACTCACAGACTTTAGCTAATAGTTCCTAGTTAGGGTCTTTAGGCAAACTTTTAGGAAGCAGAGCTTTATTTAAATAAGTATTTGCTAAAAATTACCCATTTACAAATGACAGAAGTGACCTAGTTATCTGGCTCTATAATTTTAGTCCATCTTAAACAGCTTTATAGATACTTCCTCACACCATTAAGAAGTACAATTTGTACTCTTCACACTTGCTTGGCTTTTATCTGACTGCTTAAAGTAAGTTCTGTTGGGCATCATTGAAGGACAGTAAGCAGGCTCAACTTTTAAAATAGTCATAAAAGCAGAAAATTAAAATTTGTGGAACAGGAAAACCTTAAAACACATTAAAAAGAGGACATGCATAGACATCACAAATGTACAATGAACAGTGTTTTCATCAATTTCAAAGGATTCAATATAAGTTTTAAGAAACATTGGTCCTTATTAATAGCAATATTCTGGTTGTCTAAAAGGCTTCGTTTTAAATTTTATCATCAAGAGGAAAACTAGTAACCAGATGCATTGTTGCCATCCATCAGTTGATTGTTTTTATTAATTAATAGATTTCATTTTAAAATAATGGAGTTTATATGGAATGCTTCATTAAACATGTTCTTAGATCGGATGGATATTATAGAAATTCAAATTTGATTTCCCTATGGTGGATGGAATATGTCAATTAGGTAGGCTAGTTGTAACAACTTGGAAGTAAACTTACTCATGAAATTAATACGAGCTACTATATGTGTTCTAATTGTTAAGATTGCCAACATTCTTTAAGAATTTGGTATATATGTGCTCATCTCAAATCTACTTATTAAAAACATTATCTCCTCCTTTGGGTAAATTAGACTCTTGATAAGTAGAGGGTAAAATATAAGAGACAGGAAAGTAAAAACAAAACTGCTTCAACAAGGCAGAAATAACACAGTCTAAAATGAATGATGAGTGAAAACAAAAGTCTCAGAAAGTAATAAGATGTGGCAAAAATTTGAAATAAATAAACAAAATTTTCAGCCCCGATTCCCATCTCATTTCCCAAACTAATCACTGGCAGTCAAAAAAATTTGCTAACTCAGATGATGTAATGGGAATATCGTCAATGTAAATTAGTAAAGCATGAAGCTGGAAAAATGACAAATAATTAGTCTTGAAGTCTTATTTGTTTTCAAAAGAGATTAAGAGATTCACGGGATATAATAAGAAAAATAAAAGCCATTTGACATAAATGACTTTAAGTTAAAGATTTTTCTGTGCATTGCTGTCTCAGAAGGTACATTTTTCTAGGTCAGTAATTCTTACACTTTAGCTGTACCAGACTTGAGTTGCATTAGTATTTCCTAAAGGGCTATTTAAAATAAAAATAATTGTTTCCTGACCCTGGAATTTATAATTCAGTAAGTTTTGGGTGAGGATTGCAAACGTTCATTTTTAACAAATTCTCAAATGATGTGTATGCTGCTGATCTGAAGACCATACTTTGAGAACTACCGATTAAGATGGGCTGAGCCCAAACAGCATCGATGCAGAAAATCCTCCTATACCTTTTCCCCCAACTATATCTACACACATCAACCCAAGTATTTATATTTCTAGTC